CGCCTGCCGCGGCGCCGCGACCAGCTCCTTCCCCCTGCCAGCCGAGGGGAAGTTGTGTGGAGGGGGAGCGGGGGGCGGCGGGGGGCGAGCCAGGGCGCCGCCGGGTAGGGGCGCGGGCGGCCCCGGTAGCTCTCGGGGCCAGCCCCGCTCCGGCTCCTTCCCGTTGTTGTGAGCGAGAGGCAGAAGCGGTGCCCGGGCTGCGCTGGCGGGCGGCTGTGAGCGGTGCCGGGCTGCTGCGCTGTCCATTCACCTCAGGAACGGCAGGAGGATTTGGTCCGTGCTCATGCGGAATCGTGCCCTGAAGGAGCGCATCCCGTGTAGCAAATAATGTGAGAGAGTAACGGCGTGAATCTGTAACGACGTGCCCTAAACCTGGGGCTGAATGAGCCGTAAGGCTGAGGGCATGCGAGTGAAACTTGGGTTTTTTCCCTGCCTTTCCCTTGGAGCAGCGCTCAGCTGTGCGTGTTCTCCACCAGACCGTTTAAAACCGCACGTTTGCTATGCCGCACGCCACCCGTGTCCTTAGCAAATAACTACAGAGACGTTATTTGGGTAGTATGAGGTAATTTAGGAGCCACAATTCCCCAAGTTAGACTTTTAAATCTGTGTGTGGGCATCCGTGTATAAGTGGCCTGGTTTTCAAGGTGCACCTGCAGCTCCCAGTGACTCCCGATCGCTCGGGGGCACCTGGATGTGATGTGTGGCTTTAAAAGCCGAACTTTGGACTTGGAGTATGTATTTCATGTACGCGCTCTGTCAGAATTATGTGCTCAGGCTCAGCCTGCTCCTGTTCATTCTTTCCTGAGATGTACAGTATGCAAATGTAACTTAATTGCCACTGTTTCTTCTCAAAATTCATTCTGAAATACCTTTTCCCTTTTTTCTTTTTTTCCTATCCTAGGTGGACTTTTCATGAGGAACACTGTTCAGGAGCACAGTGCATTTCGATTTGCTGTGCAGTTATACAACACAAACCAAAATACCACAGAAAAGCCCTTCCATTTGAACTATCATGTAGATCACTTGGACTCTTCCAACAGTTTTTCAGTGACAAATGCTTGTAAGTAAATACATGCTTTTTTAAAAAAATATTTATTTGTTATCTATTCTTACCTTCAATTTCTCCCTGGTAGCCTAGAGTTCTTGTTCATACAATACAGTGCAACAAATGTGTGTAGTGGCATGAGGTTTAGTGGATTTGCAGCACTATATGGTTGAATAATACCTTAGGGAAAGTTCTCTCACCGCTTCTTTTCACCCCCTTAGTTTTGTTTTCCAGAAAAAACACCATGTTAGTTATATAGCAGCGCTGTGTAGCTGTGATCAGTGAATTGCCGCTGAAGTAACATCCCTTTTCTGTTGAGGCTATGACCTAGCTGTGTGAAATAGCGTAATTTGCAAATAATACCGTGTAGGAATAAAACAGAAACAGCTGTTTACAAGTGACCTTGAGGGGACAAAGCTAGAGGGGCTTACTTGCCTCCTCTGCCCTGTAATACTGGGTTGTTTTCTTACAGTGAAAGTCCTGTTAAAAGCTGAGGAGACTGTAAACTGACAAATACCGTTAGAGCTGAGGGGAGAGAAAATGGAATCGGAACGCTAAGCGTTATAAGAAATAGCTCTGCACAAGCAATGAATATGTATAATTTGAGCCTTTATTAACAGAAGAAGCAAAATAGAACTTTGAGTAGTCTTAATGTGGTGTTAAAATGCGAAATCTCTTTCTGAAAGACTGGTGCATGTTCTGCATTTAAAAAAGCATTCCTTTACCAATAGTAGTTCCTGAATATTTGTTTTACTGATGTGTCCAAATTCAATTTTATACAGTTTTTATTGTAAATTTTTGAAAATGAATGGAGTCTTCTTGCGAGGTAGTTGCATGCACTTTGCAGTATACAGAAATATGTCTGTACATGCGTGATCTAAAGGACCTCTGAATGCAATGTACTAACTTTGTGTTATGAACAGGATTCCTGTTCATGTACTCACAGCGTAAAATGTTCAAAGAGGAAGCATTGTACTAAAATAGTGAAGTATTAGAGTACAGAAAACTAGTATCTCTTGCTTTAAAACAATTTCATGTTTTGAATATCTTATTTCTTTATTTTTCTGTTTGTTTGGGATAGGATAGTTCTTATATTCCTGTCCCAGGCTGTATAATCTGAAGGCTGGACAAGTAGATATTTTATTCTTCTAGGGTTTCGGGTATTTTCTGAGAAAGTTGATGGTTAGAAAATATACAATAGGAAGTATTTTGGACAAATTTTAGATTGGTATTCTAACATATCCCCCATGTGACTACTTCTTGCTAGTGCAGCGTTACACTTTTTAAAGGGCTTTGAATTAGGACCTTTAAAACTTTTTCAGGGGGATTAATTATATAATATCCAATAAAAATATTTGGTAAAGTGGAAAAAAATGGTAAATAAAAGCGTGTCTGTACTTTACATCTTATTTTACTAATCCTATCCAGCCTCAACAGCTCTTACAACAAACATCAGACTATTAATCCTTAATCAGTGTAATCCCTTCAAGAGGCTGTATCTCAAACATAGTTTCTTAAATATCAATTATATGGATTTAAACTAAATACATTAAACTGCTTGGGTGATTAATTATTGTTTTTTAAAAGTTCTCCCAGCACTTCTTTACAGATCCCACCAAGACAAGTGAACCACATGCTCGTTCAGAGACAGTCAATGTATCATTTAGTCAGTGTGCTTCTCATCTTCTGACATCTAATGTTTTTTGTCATTGCTTAGTGAAAGCTGTGACCATTTTAGTAAGATGAGATGGCTTTCTGTAGTATAGGGCTGCATGTTCCAACACACATATTACCAGTGCAGCGAAACTGGGAAAACTTAAATCTCTGGAGAAACCATAGACCAGAGAATACCAACCTACAGTAACCTATTTAAAAATAGAAGATGTGAAAAAAGAAACAGAAGAAAGAAAATGAAAAGGTGACCTTGTCCATAGCTATGTCAACCATATGGTAATACTGTTGGTAGGAAAAGAATATGGTGAGTCCAAGTAACCAGTCATAGGTCTCAGTAGCTCAAAATAAAAAAAAAAATAGAAGAACAGTTGCGCTTCTTGGATCTCGAAGCAGTTATCTTTGAGTGTCAGAATGCTCATACATATCGATGCATTAGGATGAACTAATAGCTCCTCACACTACCTGGCTGACATGTAAAACGTTCTGGCCTAAGTACCCTTAATCACATCCTCACTTCCCAGTGGAGTGGCAGATAACTTCAGGGTGCTGCCGTATCCGTGAAGGAATTCTTTCCACAACATTTTTACTTCTCTTGGAGATAAGCATAAATTGTCTCCAGTGCTGTCACACAGCCGTTTGATCAATATTTGCAATTGGCAGGGATCCATAGGAGAGAAACCTGCAGTGACTCTGACTGCCTTCACTGGAGAGGGAGGCTGTGGCTGACTTTGTGGTGGGATAGGTAAAGGAACAGAAGGGAAATTGGAGAAAGTAGCATGTGTAGCTTGAGCCTAGGGCCTGTGCTAGTCAGTATCCATAAAATAATACTTTTCATTCTCCTTTGGTTTGATTTATATGATAGAGGCTGTAGTAAGTGTTCATGTGTGCAGGAATTGAGAGGGGCTCTGCTCAGGAAAGACGTATGTTCTTGGTGTACAGCTGCACATCCCGCTTGGTGCAATCTGGTGCATTCCAGAGGCACGAGAAAAAAAAATCTCTTCTGAAGTATCCTCATGAGCCAGAGATAAAAAGCCCACCTCTGGTAGGGCTGATTTGGCAGTATCCCAACATGGGAACAAACTTGTTTAGAAGCAAAAGAAAATTCCTGCCCTAAGCCCCTCCCTCTCATTCCTTTTTCAGTTAAATGATGCATAATCTGATTCATGTACATGTATTCCCTGCTTTACTGCTAGCACCGAGCCCCTCTCTGTATATTTAATGTACACACATGCATACAGTATTCATCCACTCTGTATTTGTCTGTAAATCCACCTATTTATTTAGCTGTATGATATCTTAACAGAGAGCAAATGCAAACACTGATGAAAATTCCAGTGTATTTAAAGGTGAGTTGAAGTTTATCACCTGGCTCTAGGGGGGGATTTATTACATCTTTTAAAATATGCAGCTTTTTGCCATCAGAAAAAAACTGAAAGGAAGAAAGTTAGCTTGACCTGTGAATGAATAAAATCAAGTAAAACATGGATGTTATATTTTCTTCAAAAATGCTCCTGTAGGGAGTGAGCTGGCTTTTTCAGAATAATATAACAACTCAAATGTATAAATTCATCACTGAAGTGCCTTTCATGCTTTTCTTATAACCTCTGATGAAGGATGTTAGTATTAATGTTGAATTATGCGTACAGTTCTGTAGATCATATTCCCTAGAAATAACCCGCGTATGTCTTTCTGCTCTGCACTTGTAGTGCACTATACTAACACTGCTCTAGCCTCTGCAGTGTCAGCTCATTAGCACACAGATCTCATATTCCCTCTCTGCACTGTCATTGCAAAAAATTGCTGTTGTACACCTTTACAGCCAACAAATGTGCACTTGCGTTATGTACAATTTTCAAGAAATATTTAGAAAAGTAAACGCAACCTTATATGTAGTCAGCGTGGAATTTCTCAAAAGAAAGCATTAGTTTTCATTAAAATCTGTTGATCATGTAATGATAGTGGTGGGATGTGTACGGGTGAAAAGGGGCTGTGATTGCAGAATCTAATTAATCTACAGGCAGATTCCCTCTCTCAGCTAAACCTATCGGCTGCAAATTCTTGTCCTGTTAATTTCTCTGAGTCATTTCTCATATATCTTCTGAACCCAGAAGGCTTTTTATATTTTACCAAATGTTGATGTGTAGTGTTTTTTCCACGGGCACTTGTTCTTAAAGAGACCAAAAAAAGAGGGAAGACACAATGACATGCTTACCTTAAGTTGCTAAAATCCTGTAAGTGACACTGTCTTGAGGGAGTCTGATTTCAGACTTTCTTGGAAAATTTTTCTTTAGCATCTTTGCAGTCCTTGTGTTTAGTCTTTCAAATTCGACTTGGAAGATTTTAATGGAAAAAGTGCCTGTTTGTTGTTGTGAGAACGTTGCAGAAAATGATAGCACAGGGTTAGTAGCAGACAATTTTTCCAGTTTAACTGTATTACTCCCTTTCCCAAAGCACAGGTGCATATATATATCTCTATATGCTCACATGCATACTCACTTGCACACGTGCACGCATGCACGCATGCACACACACACACTTTTTCCTTAGGTGCTGCTCGGCATTTCTTTTTGCCAGTGGGCAGATAATTTGCTTCCCTTGCATCTGTGTACTCTTTGGCCAGCTGGCAAAGGACACTGATGCTGAAAGTGGTCAGTTCCCTTCTGCCAAAAGCATAAGCATGCCTCACTGAAAGTCTTGCCAAGTTTGGGCCGTGTGCTGCTGGTTTTGCATGAGTAGAGACCACAGGGTAGGTGCCTTGCTCTCCCGATAAGGAATGCACTGTGGCTTCTCCCAGCATTCTGTGGTAAAACACCTGGAAATGTGCTTTCTACACAACTCAGTTCATTACAGATCCCTGAAAATGCCTTTTATGACGCGGAACGTGCTCAAGTATTGTATGTTACTGCTGTGTGACAAAGAAAATGAGCTGGCTTTAGTTTAGGGTTTAGAGCTTTTGCAATATTGGGGTAGGTCGAAAGGTGAAGGGTGTGTTCCAACTAAAGTTTGTTTCCACTTCGTGGCAGAGCAGATGCTTTGTCATTAAGCTGAATGTGATCTCAGTGTTAGCAGAAGGAACCATACTGCTTTCAAGTATGTTTTATTCTTTCTTAAATTAATTTCAGAATAAGCTGACTCTCCTCTCTCTCCTCCTCTGCTGCATACATAGCATTTATATACTGTTTAGATGTTAGGGTTCCATTTAACTCACACTGTAGGGATGGAAAAAAATCTCATATGAATGGACAATTTTTTGAGAAACTCTGAATTCACCAAATGAATGAAGAATAAAGCACAATGAAGAGCGCCATTTACTTGTTCAATTTTGGAAAGATTTTGTGCAG